CGCATCCCTCGGGCCCCAGGAGATCCGCCAGAAGTCGCACCGCAGCAACAGAAGCGTCCAAGCCGCATCGAAGTCACACCCCGGTAAGTGTGTTTCTTTTTCCTATAACTCAATGCCTGCTTGAGTATTTGTTTGTTAGTTAACCCGCCCCATTTCATTCCTCCTAATGTGCTCAAGCAGGATTCCTTCATAACCTTGGCAAACAATAGATTTCGGAAGAGCGAGTGCATTGTCAAGGAACCGCGTGACACCTCCGCCATCTTGTTGAGGCAGAAGAAGCAGTCCAGCAGCGTATACAGTCCATCTAGTATAACATCTCGCGTAATAGGGTCAAGGCTCGACCGGGGAATCGGACTCGACAATCCTAGGGCCCGCCGCCCAACCAGTTATTATAAAAAATTGTAGACTGAAAGTTCGTGAAATGATGGCATATATATTGTAAGGTTGTAGCAAAAAAATATTAATTACGAATACTACGCAAACGAAGTCGCGGGAAAAGGATAAAAAGTAAACATGGGCTGTGGTTTTCCAAATTGATGTTATTTCACCTCCAAGCGTGTGAAGCCACGAGCTAAAGCTTAAAATGTTATCAATATTTTAAAATTTGGACAATTTAGTTGATTTATTTAAATATGTGGCTGTATTTTATTTTACATTTAATACAAATCAAAATTTTAAAAACCGTTTAGTAAAATCTAAACTGGTAAGTAATTCATCATGTGAGGTCATTCTTCTTTTTGGCTTTTTTATAAAAAACGTAGTTCAAACAGTCGTCCTTTGCACGTTAGACTTACAACTTCTCCGTTCTTTTATACTAACGTTCAGAGCATTTTGCGTCGTAACCTCTTTCTTTATATGTCGCTCCTGTGGGAAATAAAGAAGCATTCAATACATGCTATGCAAGACACATGTACGGTAAAGTGGTATGAGCACCAGTTGTATTAAAAGCAGGTAAAGTAAAATGTTATGCTGGGTCATGACAAAAACGTGCGCGTTGTATATACTGCAAATCTCTTCATTGAATTTAATAACATCCTTTAATTAATTTCATCGAAAATAAGGTTAAATTTATACATACATTACATTAGGTTAAATTTATCAATTACATAAATACTTAATTATTGTCGACAATAATGATTTTTCTTATTTCTTACGCAAACACTACACATTGAATAAAATTATTTTTATAAATTTATTCACGTTTAGTTTATTTATTATAAATATATAAAATCTGTAAAAATTGTTTTAAACAGTAATGGGAGTATACAGTTTATAAGGTAATATTCACAAATGTTGACGATGTTAACCTATGATGTGTTAACAACTAGGAAAACTTAAAGAAATAAACTGCATTTGCACCATAGCAGTATGAAGTACTTAAGCAATTCGTGAGAAAATCCACAAATAATGATATTGGAGGAAAAGTTTGCAACGTAAGACGTTACAAACTCTTCGGATCGTACCAAAAGTTAAATTTTAATCTATGGTAACCGCGGTTAACTATGGCATATGGACGTTGAACATCTCAGTCCCGCCCGTGACCATGAGTGCTATAAAGCGTTCGAAACGTCGGGTATTTAAAAAGTTAAATATACACGATAAATTCCGTAAAAACTAGTATTATTTCAACGTAAGACGTTACTTCTTACTTTAAATTTCTGTTAACTTTGGCAACAATATTGGAAATTAAAAGTTTATTTATGCTTGTCTTAATAGTTTTAAATGAGTATCTAATAATATGGTTATGTGGCTGATTTTGTTTTCTACCAAGAAAAAGAAAGAAAGAAAATTAATTAGTCATGGAACAACATGGTTACACTTTATTTAAAATAAAGTAAAGTAAAATTACAGCCTATATACGTCCCACAGCTGGGCACAGGACTCCCCTCATTTCTGAGAGGGTTTTAGGGCAAGGAAGTGTCTGCCGTGCTGCCCCAATGCGTGTTGGCGAACTTCACATGACTTCGAATTCGAAATATTTTTTTTTATTCCTCAGACATGTAGGTTTCCTTACGATGTTTTCCTTCACTGCCGAGTATGTGGTAAATCAGCATTTAAAATTGCAATTAGAAATTTCATTGGTACCGGCGGGAATTGAACCCGGATTACTCGCATTCTCTTATATTTACAGCGAGCGTTAACCATCTGAGCTACCACGGCTCTAACAATTTGTGTAGTAATACAAATAAGTTACGTAATGTGATTAAAGTTAAAACGCTAAAAGATCTTTCATTGATATACAAAGTCTCATATCTTTCCATAATTTATTGAGCCAACTGGGGTGCAAAATATATTCCCATCAGCTGTTACCAAATATGCATCCTTGTGGTTGCCAACATACAGATCTCAGCTCATATTACACTGACACGTGTATTCCTGCAACGATGCTCGCAGAAAGAATTCCGTTATTAAACATCGAGTGAAACTAATTTATAAAACGTCTAGGAAACTGAAGCGTTACCACATATAATCGTTTTCTTTTATATTTTGTTTATTTCTATATAATGCCAGACTGAAAATATAGGTCATGTTTACCTCATGAAATGATTACTGCAGTTAATAGACACCTTTAACCCTTCAATTCCCAAAAAATATCCCATGCAGTCGCATGCGTCCAGCAAATCACGAGCATTCGCATGCGACCGCACCCACCCACATCACTTTAAACTATTAAAACTTATATTTAGAGACTACTTTTTAATGAAGAAGTTTGGCATTATAAAATCTATACAAAATTCTCTATCCTGTGGTTTAAACAAAAGTCCGGTTTCACTTCATTACAAAAAGATTTTATTGTATTTTGATAACAAAAAAAATCATACCTAGCGGATGTCGGCATCGTGAAAATTACAATTATTTCTATATATTACTCGAAATTATTTACGTAAAAAGATAAATTATATTCACATAAAAATTTCTATAACAATTTTATAATAAAAGACTATTGTAAAACACTAATAAAATACTACTACAAAAATCTAAAAATCAACACAACATCCAAATGAAAATGACGTACGTAATGAACGTAGAATATAAATTAATATCCATAGATTAAATGTTTTTTTATTCCACTAGATGATAGAAAATTTCATATAGATTCTATAATGCCAAACTTCTTTGTATAAAAGTAGTCTCTAAACATAATTTTAAAGATTATTTTTAATATAATGATACAATAAATTTTTAAAGATTAAATTATTGAGGGTACCCACCCATATATAGCGGTCATATTTGACCTCTTGAATTTTGACGGAATATCGAAGCGTTCAACCACCTTCATGGCGGTACTTCGGAGAATATTCGGGCTACAGCGATGTATATGGCCGGGTACATCGTTGCAACGCGATGTATTCGCGTGCAGACGATGTAGCATCGCGGCACTGTCGGTAAACTGGCGCGCTTCAAAGGACTTGTCGCGACAATATTCGCTTGAGTGGCCACACCTACGTCACTTCAGTGTCGTCCAGAATTTGAAGCGGGACTGACGTTCTTGAGTTTTTGTACACTATGGAGTGAAGTAACGAAAAATTGTTAGAGTTCATTCAGTTTTATGAAACTGAGAATATTATATGGAATTCTAGTAACCCCGACCACAAAAAGAAACATTTGGTACATGATGCGTGGGTTAGAATTAAAAAAAAAGCTCAGTTGGCCTACCACAGTAGAAGAAATGAAGAAGAGAAAGATTCTTTGATATCATATTATAGAGCCCATCTCAATAAAATTAAGAAATCGATGAAGTCAGGAGCTGGCGCTGACGTTTTCTTCAACTTATATACGATTGCCGCCGGACTATAGACACGCAGGTAAATAATAACAAAACACGCATATTTAATAGGTATATCCTATATTTATACAGTTTCACAAGTTTAACTTTATCAAAATAAAAACATACTTTTTATTGATGGAAAAAATGTTGAGCAAACTTGTCCCTGATTTGTGTTGGTAAAAGACCGCCCCGTCTAACTACCACCGAAAAAAGGCGCAAGGCAGTTTCTTCTGGTTGTTCATTTTGCCATGTACCTGGAACTACTTGTCCATTTATAATAGTGTCTGCAAAACCTGGTGGTATATACATATTATTTGATGATAAACTGTTTCTTAAGGAGTTGTGTAGTAATATACAGGATATGACAACATTAGAGGCGCGAAGTGCGATCGGCTTTCTGAGTACGCGAAATACGGCAGACGTAATTCCAAATACATTTTCTACAACTATACGGGCTTTTGACAGTTGCGTGTTAAATTTTCTTTTAATACTGCCTTCTGGATGATCTCCAGGGTATGGTTTCATTATGTTTGTATGTAAAGGAAACGCGTTGCCCACCACAAATACAAAAGGCACGATGATATCAGAACCGAGAAGCGCAGAAGGAGCTGGTAAATTAAGTGCATTTGTCTGTAGTTTCACAAATAATGAGCTGTTTCTGAATACTGCACCGTCACTAATGCGACCTTGGCAACCAACATCTGCATACATGAACGATACTTCTTATCTACCAAAGCCATGAGAACAATGCTGAATATATGCTTGTAATTGTAAAACTCAGTTTTTCTGTGAGTCGGTGATAAAATTTGAACATGTTTCCCATCAATGCTTCCAATATAATGTGGAAGGATATCACGAAAACTAGCTTCTTTTAGCAGCCGTTCTTCTTCGTTTGCAGGCATCTGAAATAATTTTAATTATTATTTCAGAATGAAAGTGTACAAGAAGAGCATGCCGAGTGTGACGATGAAGATGAAGTAAATACAGTTACTCGTAGTCGTAATACAGAAGACCCAATTTCCACTAGTCCGCTTAACTCAAGAAAAACAAATAAGCTAGCAAAAATTAATTTTCCTTCAGAAATATTACATACGAAGAGACAAATGCAAGAGGCATTTCAGCATGTAAAAAGCAGCGTTAGCGACGAATATGAAATGTTTGGGAAATTGATTGCTAGTAAATTGCGAAAAATTAAAAACCCTAATACAAGAGATATTCTTATGAATGATATTCATACTATGATTAAAGCAGATGATAGATCGGGTTGACCGAGCACATCAATATCAATCTCTGATCCATCCATCGCCATCTCCGTCACCACTGAACCAAACTTACCAGTCTTCAATCCATCCATCGCCATCTCCGTCACCACAGAACCAAACCTACCAGTCACCGATCCATTCATTACCATCTCCGTCACAACAGAACCAAACTTACCAGTCTTCAATCCATCCATCGCCATCTCCGTCACCACAGAACCAAACCTACCAGGCACCGATCCATTCATTACCATCTCCGTCACCACAGAACCAAACTTACCAGTCTTCAGTCCATCCATCGCCATCTCTGTCATCACAGAACCAAACCTACCAGTCACCGATCCATTCATAACCATCTCCGTCACCACAGAACCAAACTTACCAGTCTTCAATCCATCCATCGCCATCTCCGTCACCACAGAACCAAATCTACCAGTCAGCGATCCAATCACCATCTCCGTCACTACAGAACCAAACTTACCAGTCCTCAATCCATCCACCGCCATCTCGTCACCGCAGAACCAAACCTACCAGTCACCGATCCATTCATCACCATCTCCGTCACCACAGAATCAAAGTTACCAGTCCCCGATCCTTCCATCGCAATCTCGGGGAGCCTCACAAATTATGATATCGGAGACCGGTGAAATATCATTCATATAGAAATGACGGAGTTTTTTTATTGATTATAATATATGGTTTTTTTTAAATTTGATGTCACCTAGGCACTTATATTGAAATAAAACTAAACTGTGAGTGAAATAATGTATTTTTCTTACCTTAATCTCGTTTTTCAAAACGATCAAGAGACTTGCGCAAACTTCATGTACTATTTTGGAAATGAGTTTATGAGATATTTTGAAAAGATAATGAAGGCTTCGAAAATTATCGTTAGTATGTAGTAGTGTTATTGCCAATCGCACTTTTGCAGGAATTGCTTTTCTGAATTTTGTATCTTTTTTGGTGATAAGTGGTGCGAGCTTCTGTAGTAGTATTTCAAAGTCAGATGTCGACATACGTAAAAATCCAGAGACTTCTGACCAGACTCTAAGGTTAGCTCAGTTAACACACTTTCCATTCCTGTTCTATAAATGAGATAGTAAAGTAAAACTATTATACTTACGCCTCTAAAGTCTCACCACAAAATACTTAATGTCTCGCGCATAAAAAGATTATTTTACTGGTGGCACTAGTCACTGAAATTTCATACTATGACGAATCACAAACTTTCGGCCATTTTGTTGATCATACGGTATCAAGATTGTTGTGGTGCAGTGAGCATTCGACAATTGAGAGTTACATTTTACTGCTAGACTTTTAAATCATTGATAAGTACTACTATTATTTTATAACTCAGCTTAGAATAAATGGGTATTAGTACAATTGGTATAAAATAAAAGATTCGTAAGAAAGTAAGAATGTATAGAGGTATTTTTATAGACATACATCATATATGTCACATCGGTTACTTTTTTCTGTGACTTAACCGAAATGAACGGTTAAGGTTTGTTCACATAGTACACAAATAAAAATATTTTAATTTATTAATATTTTTCTTTTTCATATTTGTATTATATAATATAAGTTTATCGAACTAGATCAAAGAGACTAGACCTATTCAACTTTGCTTTAAACAAGATGAAAACAAAAACTTTAAAAAAGTTCTGTTTATTTCTTTTTAATGGGTAAATATTTAATTTAAAACTTTTATTTCATTATAGGATACACAATTTATAGGAACTACAACATTTATAGCATTTTTATTTATGTTTATAAATATAATGTTATGAATAATAAGGATTTATTAAAAAAAAACATTATCTTTAGTAGGTTTGTTTACATTTTATCTCAAGCCGAATAGACATAAATAATATTTTACTTATTATTATTACTTCTAATTTTCTTTAAAACGTATGTGATTATAAACTGGCCCTAATAACTCGTCTCTGTTACTTTTCTGTTATAACTAAATCGTTTTCCTATCTGTTTTGTATCTGTAATTTACAATTATTTTAAAATGACCCATCTATCTATCCTCGATTAAGAATAAAAAGTGGATGCGTTTTCATCCTTGAGGACTTATATGGAACGCCTCTTTTCCAGGGAAAGGGTTCTGTACGCTCACTATATGAAACACAGTATAATACACTATAAAAGAATAGAGTGGATTAGAATATAATTAGAATAGAATATTTTTAATTCATTATAGATTACACGTAATTTTTATTGTAGTGTAAGTATTTTTTTTAATTTACCAACGGTACGTTACAGCTTCATTAAGCTGTTATTTCATGTAATTATTCTACGAGAGCGTGGCCCTTCCCGGTCAAGCTGTCCCATTCGTGTTGTGTTCAAAATATAGCTGCGGTGTATTTCTACTACTTTAAAACTTCTTAAATAGTTGAAGGTACTTGGTTAATAATTACTTTTGGTGGGTGGTCTGACGACCGCAGTACCGGACGAGCCGTGTTGGTGGTACTACCCGTCACTTATCTAGTTACGACTACATCTCTACCACTAGTAGGTCAAAAGCCTCTAAGGTCAAAATCTATTGGGAATGTTCGTTTCATATTTTTATATACATATTTCATAATTTATTTTATTTGATTTGAAAATGACGCATGTGAAAATGATGAATGATGGGTAAAAGCTTTTAAAAAACTTGTGCGTTCGGTAGCTCGAGACGACTAAAATGAAACAAGTTTACAGTCGTTTATAATTTATTTTAAATTAATTTTTCGAACACCTTCTGCACTACAAAATGACTACTATAAGAAACATATTTTACTATATTAACCAGTTATAAGTTATCTCTCAACGCCCACGGAATGAGATGTGAGTGAAAGTTCGACAGCAGTACGCCAAAATGTAACTTATTAGATTAACTGGAATTTTTGTAGAAAATTATCCTTGATTTTGTCTTCAAAATCTTGACTTAGTTATATTTAATCCCTTATATAAATTACAAAATACTATAGCAAAGGTACCTTGGAGGTCGATTCTTACGGAGTGAAAGCTTATCTTCACATTTTGCCTGTCAGCACCGCTGAGTGGAAAACTTAAGACGCGATAAAGACCAGATTAATCTCAAGGGATAAGATGAATTCGCTTGCCACAATATTATCGTTTATTCAATAATATCTGCTTTAGATTTCATCTTTTTTTTTTGTTTTATCAGCCAACTGTGTGTGGTGACACCGCAAGAGATTACATCATACCATTTCGACCTTGGGTGACGTAAGCGGTGCTTAGTTATTGAACGTATGCAAGGTATTAACATTAACAATTTTTACTTTTATACTGATGGCTCCTATGTGCAGATAAATTATGTATAAATTATCTTTGTATGTCTATATCGCCAAATAATTTGCGATTTCCATTACGTATAGGTTTTTCGAAACTGGGCATAATCAAAATTAAAGCGAATACAAAAAACATAAAAAATAAAGTTTTCAATTTTCTAAATGAATGTACAACATTATTTTTAATTCTATATAGGTGAAAATATCAATTAATCATTGTAATCTGATGTTTTTATATCGTGGGTGCTGTAAAAGGCGATAGAGAGGAATGAAACTGGAGAGGGACACCGAGCAGTAGCAATCTCCTGATAACTGGCAAATGTACTATGTAACTTGGGCTGTGATGAATGACAAATGATGAAATAAGACTAAAATAGTATATTATGACACAAAAACATAAGCGAATCTTGATTATTTTGCATTATTTTTGAGGTCAATGTTTCACATTTATATGGTAGTACACTCTTTTGAGGTATACTTTTTATGACTCAATATAAAAATTAAATAAAAATCGTTGAATTGCCACAATCACTGTTTTTGAGATATTGAAAAATTTACTACAACTAATTATAAAGCGGTTGAAGAGACTTTTAACTACTTCATTTTTTTATAGTTGATTTCGTTTTTCTTTTTATTTTAATAACTTCAATTTTTTTTAATAGTCGATTTTTTAATAGACGAAAATCGATTTCAAACCTAAACTGTTTTTAACTTAACTTTTAAAATACATTTAATACTCCTTTTTCTTGATCTCCTTACTCCTTCCTAAAAGGCCAGAAATGCATCTGCAACTCCTCCGTTGTTGCGGTTTTTCATGGGCGGCGGTAGTCACTTACCGGTAGGTGAGCCCCGTGCTCGATTGCCCCTCTTCTATAAAAAATATACCCTTCAGCAAATTGTACAGAAGTCCGAAGAGTACAATCTGCCTCCTTGTATTGCGTATGTGGACTATGAGAAAGCCTTTCATTCCGTCGAAATTTGGGCGGTACTGGAGTTTTGGTTGCGAATGCTTATTAATTTCCTTGATGTTGGTTGCCTTAAAAATGTTATAAACGTTGCCTTTGCATTCTTTAATACAAAATGTATTCTTTAATACAAAAGTAACTAAAATGATTATTGGTCTACTCGTATTATGACGGTTCTTACTTCATATAAATAAAATCTTTTGTCTGCTGAAAATTTTCAAAGCACGTTTTTCATATTTTCTATAAATTAATTTTAATGATTTCTTAAATTTACGCGAACACTACACATTGAATAAAACTATTATTTGCGGATTTTATCGCGTTTAATTACTTTAATTTATTTTTATTATTATCCCGACGTTTCGGGTGCTTTACAGCGCCCATGGTCACGGGGGGGGACTGAGATGTTTGATGTCCCAATGTCATAGTTAGTCCGGCTACCTTCAGTTTTTTAATATTAATTTTTTGGTCCGATTTACGCAAAACGAGCTTATAGTATCATGAAGTCTTGCAGTGGTATGCTTGGGTTTGGGTTTAATTTTGTTGATTATAGGATCCCAAGCAGATGGTAGCACCCAACCATCTTCTCTATTGAAATTTGGATGTTTTTTTAATTTCAATAGCCTCGCGTATCATCCTTGGTAGGAATCGGTGTTCTTTTGCGAGAATTTGTGGTTTATCAAATCTAATGTAATGGTGGGGACGATCTTGAACATGTTCGCAGACTGCAGACTTCCCGGAGCGTCGGTGCTTCACATCAGCTATATGTTCCTTCACGCGGGTTTTTATAGATCTCTTTGTTTGACCTATGTAAGAGAGACCACATTCACAATCTAGCTTTGAATCGTGAGTCGTACGGAACAGACCAGAACTCACGATTCTCCGCGCGGATAAAGGAAATGCTACGGTAGTAATGGACACGTCGGAATATAATTTTAAAATACAACAACTTTTATCGGACGAAAGTACATATAAAAAGGTCAAAACAGACCCTACAACTAACACGCTTAAAACAACTAGCGATTTAATAAAGAAATACTCCGAAAAATTAAATCTCGACGTGAATTAATAGTGAGCCAGATCGATTCACCAACTTATAAGCTGGCACAATACTTAGCAAAAATACTATCACCACTGAGAGGACATACCAGAGCACACACAAAGGATTCATACCATTTTGTGAGTGAGATAAAAGACCTACATCTCGCTAACAATGAAACTATGGTCAGTTTTGATGTT